TAGAATATCATGAACTTCTTATATCGTGATCAAGTGAAAAGAAAATTTTAATTGTTCGCTATGAACTAAGTTACTGTACATATGTATTTTCAAATCGCAATCATTAGAATCACTTTGCATGCAAGTAATATAATGATAATAATATAAAAATATAGGTTTTGGCTTCCTACTTGTTCATCTTTATACATAAAAAATGTGGAAATATTCCAAAGAAAGGAAAAAAACAATTATTTTCAAAATAAAATCTTCACAACGATGTGTAGATCATGCAAAGAAGTATATTCAGAAACAAAACTGATAGAGTTTATTTTGAAATTAATTGCCTTCTTTTTTTTCTCGAAGATTGCCATATTTTTTCTTTATAAGGATAGAGAAGTAGAAAGCCAAAACTTAAATTTCTCAAAAAGCAATCTCTCCTAAAAATATACCCCTTTCAATTTATGAAAATACCAGGGAGGTCCCAGAAGTACCCGACCCAACAATAAAAACACGAAAATTTTGGAAAAAAATGTATTTATTCTTCAATCTCCTTGCAGCTCTTTTCCAGCGACGTTCGAAAAACTCGATACCGTTCGATCCAGAAAATAATGTGCATGAGGTAGCAATTCAAACTTTAATTCATTAATTTAATTCACCGAAAACGTTCGCTATTTCTGACTGCCAAACAAATACTAAACAACGCAGCGTTTACGCTTTATAGATTGTGTACTTTTCAATACAGTGATATTCTTCGAACAACTACCGCCATCTCTAGGTCAGCCCGGGTACTTACGGGACCACCCTCGTATAATGATTATATAATCATTATTTTCCATTAGTATCGGGAATGAAAATAAAATTGCTCTTTGCGAGTTGTATATGAAAAATACAGTAAATTTTCAGTATGTTATTTTTCTCTTGGCTTCAATTGTCCTTTTTTGTCAAGAGAGGAGGAGTATCTTGCCTTGTCTTGACCAATATCTTGTCTTGTCAAGATACGATTTATCATCTTGTCTCGATCGAAATGTGAAAAGTCTAGAGACGGGATGGGAATCTCTTGTCTTGGTTGCAACACTATTTTCCGCTTTGCTCAAGACAGCACTTGTCTCTTCTTTCCACATGGATGCTGGAATATCAGATGCTAATGATAATAATTCAGAAAATTCAGTTCAATTTTTCTTCATCTCGTTCGGCAAGATTCAACTCTATACAAAATGAAATCACATTTTCAGCACATATGCCATAAATAGTTGAGTCATTGTAATGAAATACTTAATTTTCTGACAGTGACTGACTCCTTGCTTTTGTTCAAACCATTTTTATTATGTTTTAGGTAGGTAATTACATAGGAGAAATATGCAGATACCTTCTCCTAACCCACAGAAATGGTAAGACGGTAGAACATGGAGTCAAGAAAATGATAGGGAACGGTCTGAGAAAAGAAATATGGGTTGATTTCATGAATACCTTCAATATTCCCGAAATTTACGAGTTTTATGGAGCTACAGAAGGAAATGCAAGTTTGAGTGAGTATACCTGGAGTCATCAGGTAAAACAACTGTACATTTCAACAAAACAATCATGATATGATACCTTTTCCAACCTGAAAAAAATATGATTGATTATTTCCCACAATGCACAAAAATAACAAAGTTTAATACAAGGCAGCTTCAACAAAGTTGTACCTAAATGAAACAAGAGCCTATAAATAAAGCATTTGTGACCCAACACCAGACAACGCTGTTTTGGCCCACTGTAGGTCTCATCAGAGGTGCTAAACTGGGCGACGAAAGCAATGTTGTACTCAACTGTCCTTAAAGAACAAGTATGAGTACGTAGAAGCTAATATAAAAGATAAACGAGACTCCCCAAGGTGGTCCGTTGCAAAGTCAAGCTTAGACATCGAACGCCTAGGAAATGTTCGTACCCTGTCGTTCACTGCACTTTTTACTTCAAGGCAACTAGTTGAAAAAACATATCCCAAACAACGCATTTGGGATCCAACATAAAACAGCGCATTTTCGACCCGCCATAGGTCTCATAAGGGGTGCAAGGCTGAACCATAGTAAAAATCAACCAGTCCACTCCTACTACTTTCATTAATATATTCACAAAGTTCTCGGTGACCTCGAAACGAATTGCGGAACCAATTTTGTTCTTTTACCATAGGCGTGCGCTCATATAAAAATGAAATTAAAGGATATTATAGAAGAGTTTGTTGTAAGTTACTCACAACCATCTACAAGAACTGAAAACTATAGTAACAACAGCGAATAAACTAAACACAATATCAATTTTCGACCGTTTATTATAACTAATCCGATGTCCGTGGTACTGTCAAATCCTTCGATACTACAGCACTGAACGCGAATCTCATCCTAAGAGCGGTTGAAGGTCCCCGACAACTCGGGCGGATCAAGTGGTAAGACAGCCTACTGGTTGTATTATTCTACTGTGGCTGAACCACAAATGCATTGCTGGACCCAACTGTTCTTAAATAACAAGCCTAAGTAAACAAGTGTGATGACAATTCCCCTCATCGACATCGACAGAGGAATCAAATCTGGAATATCGAATTCAGTTCCTAGCGTCAAGTGAGTCACAAAACTCTTGGAGCGTGTTACTACCTAGGGTATGCAGATTGAGACATTCCCAGTTTTATTTCAATGAGAGAGCCACCGGTATACAACTGTTTCAGAAGGTTGGGCATCATCAGTACCTCTTAGGCGGTCTTGGATTCAAGAATTCCATGAAATGTAAGCAGATTGACTGCATTAACTTTTCTGGATTTTATACCGTTTCTTGAAACACATAGATTCATTTTCCGATGGAATTCCAGCAGAGCTTCCCAAATTTCTAGTAACGCAATTGTCGATTTTAAAGAGTGGTCAAACCATTGACAACGACAGTAAATTTAACAGGCTAACTTGGGTGTCACACCAATAGGTGGTTTCACTTATGTCTCGCTTGCCTTTACGCAGTTATTTTTATTGGGTCTTCTAGGTTAGGTTGGGTTAGGTCCAAAGGTCTATTCAACCTCACATCTATTCACACTCGACCAAATAAACCCAGCTTCTTAACGAAGCCGATTAGTTTGTATGGTGAGTGGTCTTTCAGGTTAGATAGTAAGGTACGGCTCTGCCGAACTCTAAAAACCTGATTCGGTTCTCAGCGGAGCAGGCACAAAGTATGTGCTCTGCTGTTTCATCATTTTCCAAACAGAGGCGACACACACTGTCTTCCGACAGTCCGAGTCTCTGCATATGATGATTTAAATGACAGTGGCCTGTTAGACATCATAGTTCATCCCTACTGTGGTCCAACAACTGTTTGGTATCAAGCTTCGAAGGGTGAATAAACGCCAATCCTGGAAGATTCTGTTAGAAGTCCATAAATCTTTTTGCCATCCAGATGTTCAATGCAAAGCCTAAAGCGATGCCAATCACAGGTTCTGGTCTGATGATGGGTCTTCTAACAGAGACTTTCGAATTTTGACAATTGATAACGGCCATCTTGTTGGAGCTATATCTGTCAAATTAGTTGTCATTTATTCAGTCTGTTTTGATAAATCACCAACAACATGTGCAAATAACGAAATTGTTTAATCAAAATGGGTGTTCTGTTCGGCCAACGTAAAGCGTACAGCACGCTTCGCTTACTTTAAGGTCTGCATAATCGTCCTACCGAGGGGTCTATTCGCAATGTGGTGAATAAATTTGAGTCCACTGGTTCAGTTAACGATCGACCAACCCCCGTACGCCGAAGAAACGCAAGAACTGACGAAAGCATCGTCGTTGTCTGTGAGAGTATGCAGGAGAATTTGGGCAGTAGATTTCGTATCGCTTATAACAACTTGGACTTTCGCAAACCAAAACTTGGCGAATTTTGCATCGTGACTTGGGCTATGAGTATAGTCTAATCAACAAGTTCAAAAACATTAAAAATAGGAGAAAGGTCCTAAAAATATGAGCGATAGCTCATTCGATTCGAAATCACCACTAGAAAAATTTTTTTGAAGGATTTTGGTGCAGGTAAAANCATTCATTCACTATTTGTCCCCAATAAAAGTCGAGTTACTACCGCATTGAAAGTAGTGCGAAATTGCAATCCCTATTTACATGTTTGTTGACCCTACTATTTGAATGAATTGAGTATCATTTCTAACTTCAATTACTGAAAAGTCGAAAACTATCAAGTAGTTTTCAAAATTGTTCATTACAACATACTATTTATGTTTCAGGAATAGCAAATAATATATAACATTCCTTAACGGAAATATTCCCCTTGATGATCGATATGCTTTTGCATTTATTTAAACCATTTGTCGAAACGGTTTTTCCATTCCTCTTGAGACACCTCCAAAACATGGTTTTTGAACGCTTCAACTGCTTTTTCGGTGCTCGTAAATCGTTGACCACGCAAATTACATTACAGGACTGTATAAAGAATGAGTCACCAATTCGATGTTTCGACTGTTCAAAAGTTCACCTGTTTGACGAGATGTGTCATGATGGAGAATGATTCGTCTTCGGCGGTTAATTCTAAGAATTTCTCTGAGAACTTACCGCAAACAAATAGTCGTGTACCATTCAGAATTGACCGTTCTAAATTGCTCAGATGGAACAGTAGCCACATGACTCATTCGGCCGAAGAAACAGGCGACCATTTGCTTCGCTGTGCTTCTTTCACGAACAACTTTTGTTGAATTCAGCTCGTCTTGGAATACCCACACAAATGAATGCTGTATTTTTCGGCTCATACGCATATATCCATGATTTGTCACCAGTCACGATTTTACACACGTCTCTTGAAGCACCGCGATCGAATTTTTCAATCATTTCCGTACACCACTTGACGCGAACATTTTTTGAGCGACTGACAAATTATGGGATATCCAACGAGAACAATTTTTGTTACAACTGAGTGTTCATGCAAAATCAAATATTTTAAAGTGAAACTAATATACAGGGATGCCTCTGTCTCACGATATGTCACATGACGATCTTGCATTATCAGTTCACGAACTGCATCGATGTTTTGTGGCACATCTACCGATTTTGGACGACCTTCACGGAATTCGTCGGCGACCGAACTACGACCACGATTTAATTCACTATACCAGCGATATACTGTGGTTTTTGGTGCTGTTTTATCGCCATACAAAGAACTGACTTCATCGACACATTTTTGTTGAGATAATCCACGTCCAAAGTTGTGAAAAACGAAAACCGTCTCTTGAAATTTCCATTTTTTGTTCAAATTGTTTTTCTTAACCGACAAAACAAATACCGTCTGTTGGGGTAAGATTGGCCCTTTAAGGGTAACATTGGCCCAAAGTTAGAAAAAGTTTTGTTGTGCCGTATTGTAATCATATGATGTGTTATCGACTTAGTTTATCCATTACTGGATAGTTAGCACCACTGGCCCACCTGTTGATGAAGTAGGAGTATAGTTCCATATTTCACCACCCCTCCAGTGTTACCCCACCTTTACTGTGAGAAAGTGTCGAAAATTGTTGTCTCCCAACTTTTACTTGTGAATGCTAATTCTTGAAGAGCTACTAGCAGGTAAGTGTATAATAATATTATATATTCAATTGTTTCAAGTACTTTTGGTGTAATGCTGTTACCTTTCTTATATACAAAATAATTCGATTTCACTATTTCATGACATCTTTGGCCCAGAGTTGGGGTAGCTTTGGCCCAATATGGTGACGGGGCCAAAGTTACCCCAAGACTCATATTTTCGATATAATGCATGAGTAGTATTTTATAAGCAGTTTGTTAAACGAAACCACTTAAATTCAAAATCAGCCGAAACCCAAACAAAATTGGTATGACTGAATAGGTATTTTCAATACCTTTCAAACGAGTTGTCACTTGCCATAGGGTCCCATTTAAAATTTTTGGTCACAGTGGCCTTGTGACGTCATTTATGACTATTGCGTCACCTGTTATGACCAGTTAAGAAGCCTACATCCGTATATTTCCACACTCCAAATTTCATTATTATAAGTATACCCGTTCAAAAGATACGAGGGGGGGAGGGGACTTTTGACTAGCACTGTATACAAAATAATTCGATTTCACTATTTCATGACATCTTTGGCCCAGAGTTGGGGTAGCTTTGGCCCAAGATGGTGACGGGGCCAAAGTTACCCCAAGACTCATATTTTCGATATAATGCATGAGTAGTATTTTATAAGCAGTTTGTTAAACGAAACCACTTAAAATATTTTTATTACTATCGTAAGCACTAATTTTTGAATTTTGTCGCAGAGAAAATGCCGAGAAATCGAATAAAACCTCTTGGAACAAGAAATTACGCCAATTACAAACCAGAAGTGTTAGAGGAGTGTTTAGAGGCTATTAGGTCAGGTGACTTAACCCAAAGAGCTGCAGAAAAAAGGTATAATATACCTAGATCTACGATAAAAACAAACTTGAAGGGACTCATGCAAAAAATGTAGTACGTGCAAGAATCTTTAGTGATGAAGAGGAGCATGTTTTCGAACAATATTTAATAAAAATGTCAGACTATGGGTTCCCTGTAGTTGAAATGGATTTTCGTTATGCAAAACGGTTTAGACTTTCACGGCTGAAGTTTTCAGTGTTATTTCTTTTCGAGTTTGAAAGCCATGGATTTTTGGAATTTCTTCCTGACGTTTCGCTGGCGCGAGTGGCTAGCTTCTTCAGAGGTTTAACCATCATGGCTTGCTGTCCGATGACTACCTTTTCGGCTTCGTAAAGCGTATTTATGCCTCGTCAGGTAATCAGTTGTATTTGTACCTGTATTTGTACCTGTATTTGTACCTGCATTTGTACCTGTACTAGTTCCTGCACTTGAATTTGGAACATCAACAATCTTGCTGCCTGTTGTCCTGTTTGTTATTCTTGAATTCCTTAAAATGGGGTTCCATATTTGATTGAGGTGCACCTCTTCTTCTTTTCGGTTGAAATTCTCCGTGTGTTTGTGGATCTCTATTGCCTCCCGTACCAGTCGGCTATGGTATCCCTGGTTGGTGATACCATAGCTGTGGTCTCCTTCACTAAGTGCGTGTTCTGCCACAGCTGACTTGTCCGTTTGGCCTAGTCTGCAGTTCCTTTCATGCTCTTTCAGTCTTGTTCCCATGGATCGTTTGGTGGTTCCGATATATACCTTTCCACAAGTGCACGGTATGCGATAGACCCCTGCTGCTGATAATGGATATCTTTTGTCTTTAGCCGACCTGAGGCTTTGTTGTATCTTCCTCGTGGGTTTGAAGACTGTTTCAATGTCGTGTTTGCCCAATAGTTTTCCAATTTTGTCCGTGACCCTAAGGATAAACACATCAGTTTACACGTGCTTAAGATTTGTGAAGAGAATAATATAAGGTTCGTTTGCCTCCCTCCAAATTCAACACATCTAACGCAACCATTAGACGTTTCTATCTTTGGACCAATGAAAAGATCGTGGTGTGACATCGTCCGCAAGTGGAAAGAGTCAGATTCAGGATCCAAATTTGCAACGATCCCTAAAGATTTGTTTCCACGATTGCTAACAGAACTAATGTCAAGTCTGGAAGAAAAGCGAAGAGACAATTTAACGGCTGGATTTGCCAAATGTGGAATTCATCCCTTAAACAAGCAAAGAGTGCTAGACCGTCTTTCAGAAAACCAGTCCGTGGATAAAGAGTATATAGGAGAAGCTTTTATGGAATAGTTGGAGAAGAAAAGAGCTGAGTTTTCAACTGGGGATGGCCCGAGAAGAAGGAAGAAGAAATTGCAAGTGCCTGCTGGAAAAGTATTGTATTTGAAGAGCCATCTCAGAAGCAGCCAACAAACCTTCTACCAGTGCGTCAAAGAAAACACAAAAAGTTTCCAAGAAGGAAAACAAAAAAAGGCGAAACTCTTCTTCAGATGAAGATGATGTTGAGATGGTTTTAGAGTCTGATGGGCAAAGCCGAAACATTTCTGGAAGAAATAACACAGGAAGTAGCAGGCATACCGGTTCACAATAATAGTGATGAAGAAACACCAGTTGAGTTGAAGCCCGAAGACTTTGCTATTGATAACTTTGTATTTGTTACATATAATGGACAGAAATACCCTGGCAAAATTGTTGGCTTATCTGAAGATGGACCTACAGTTGGATGCATGGAAAAACGACTGAAGTTTTGGCGCTGGCCAGAAAAACAAGAATGCCTGACTTACGACTGGGTGGATGTTTGTCAGAAAATCAATTCTCCAAAAATAGTTTTAAAAGGAAACCAGTTCCATGTGCCAGAACTGGACAACTAGTATGTATGATGTGAACAGATTTCTTTTTTTATACAATACATGTTTTTTCACTAAAATGAAGTTCGATTCATTTATTCCCATTTCTCATCATTTCATGGATGTTTTTGAAGTAAAAGCAGGTAAAACAACAAACTTATATGTCTGGTGGTAATTTTATCTTGTCTAACTTTAGCCCAACCAATACTGAACATAGGTTTTATATGGTTTAAAAGTATGGAACAAAGTTTTCCCAATTCAAGGCAACTTTGTCCCAAACATTTCAAAAATTCAGTATAATATTGCAAAATGATTGAGAGGTCTCAATATGGTTTTAATTTATTGATATAAAGTTTGCTTACATAGTAAGATACATAGAAAATAAATATAATCAATGTTAAAAGATATGGAGCTGATAAAACCATAACAAAACTTTAGATTTGGGTCAATCTTACCCCAGCTGACGGTAGCACTTGTACATTAAAACGTTTTGAGTACGTTTATGCCAAAAAAGGTCAAACTTCATTATGGTGTTGCCACATTTTACTTAGATTGACATTAGTGTTAAACGTTCCCGAAATATAAATGGTCCCCCATCATAGTATATTATTAGATAATACATTGTGGATACTTTCGAAATTTATAAACGAACTTGATTGTTGGTTTCTGCTTTTCGGGTTCTGCCTGTGAAACATCAGCACACCTCTACAAACAACAGTGGATTCAGTAAAAGAAGAAGGATTTCTATTCCACACACTCAAAATTTGCCCTTTAAAATTTATTTAGTTTGGAGTCGTAAACTTGTTACTAGTGTTTTCAATCATTCATTATGAAATGGAACTATGTGTGTTATTTTCAGGTGGAAAGGTGAAAACGTTGCCACCACTGAAGTGGAAACTGTAGCAAGCGAAATCATTGGAGCCAAAGATGTGGTTGTCTATGGGGTTGAGGTAAATTTAACTTTCATTCTGAAACTTAAAAAGAAATACTTCAAAAACGACTCTTGAATGCTAGGTGCTGAGTTTTTTACCAAATGTTATACAAGCTACTGAATTTGAAAATGTCTGTAGTATGCTCACTATATTTTTGTTTCTCCATAAGATTATCTTTAAAAAATGTCTTATTTTAATAGTAGGTTGTTTCAAAAGTTTTGTCCGTTTTTATGAGTCTATATCATAATGTAATATCTCGGTGGATACTTATTCAATGTTATCGAAATAAGCATCATTCGAATCAGTACCCTTTTGCCAATGTAACTCAAGTCGATTGAATCCGTCAGCATGAAAATTGGATGCTCGGAATTTGATGAATGCCTGAATGGCACATCGGTGTCCATCCACTGTTCTGAAACGTCTCCTGTCGATCGATCAAATCGCGGTGCACCCAATTTTCGAGCTGTTTGACCTTTTCGTTGCGTTGAAACAATCAAAAACCGCATGGGAGCTGACACCCAGTTCTTCCGCCATCCCTCGAACCGTTTTTGATTGGTCAGTCTCCACCAGGGTCCCCTCGTTTCGAATTACTGTAGGTCGACCACCTCGCGGCTCATCTTCAAGGCTAAAATCTCCTGAACGAAATTTCGCAAACCAACGTCGATCAGTGCGTTCATTAACATCATTGTCAAATCCCTGGTTGATTTTTAGGATTGTTTCAGCAGCACTCAACGACAGGTTTTTGAGATTCTGCTGGAGCGAGTTATATATCGGCATGTTAGTTGCAATATAAGTATAAACCAACACGGTTTTATGAAAAATCGTTCAACTGACTGTAACCCAACATATTGCTGAATCTATTGACAATAGGGCCCAAACTGATGTTATTTACACAGATTTTTCTAAGGCCTTCGACAGGCTTGACCATGGCATTCTACTGAACAAACTAGTAGCCTTTGGAATATCTCCATCCTCAATCACACTTTTTCAGTCCTATCTACGGGATCGAAAACAATATGTTCTGCTCAATGGTTTCAAATCTACCGATTATAGTGCTTCTTCCGGTGTTCCACAAGATTCAAATCTGGAACCGTTGCTCTTCAATATATTCATTAATGATATTGCAGATGTTATAGATGTGTATTTCCTCTTATACTCCGATGATCTAAAACTATACTGCCTCGTTGAGAACATAGATGATTGTGTGAACCTCTCAGCAAACGTAGAATGGATTGTAGAATGGTGTTGTCGAAATAACTTGTCACTGAACCCGGATAAATGTAAGGTCATGTCCTACAGTTTGAAAACGAATATCTTGATCTTTGATTATTCAATAGAAAACGTTTCTCTGGTGAGACCAGAAATATTTATTGATCTTGGCGACACATTTGCCACTGCACTATCTTTTAATAGGCATATCGATAATGTTGTAACCTCCTCCTGTCTTTTGTACGGATTAATTGCACGTAACAGTAGTGATTTCAAAAAAACTTCGGCCTCAAAAACTTTATTCTATGCTTTCATAAGATCAAAGTTAGAATACGCGTCAGTTATGTGGAGCCCCTTTTATCAATATCACATTGATAGAATAGAAGCAATTCAACGACGATTTTTGAAACTGCTAAGCCTAAAAACCGATGGCATTTTTCCCCCAATAGGAACAACCCACTCTGAATTGCTACAAAAGCATAACTTTTGCAGTCTCGAAAAAAGGCGTGAATATTTTAGTGTTGCACTAACCTATAAAATTATCAAAAGCATAGTTGACTGCCTAACATAACTGGAAAAGTTTAATATTTGCATTCCTAGAATCCCTTCCAGACACCCGAGTACTTTCTATATAAAAACATCTTGCACAAATGTTCTGGAGAATTCTCCGATCCATACCATGTGTAAAGTGACAAATTCTGTTAGCGATAATTTAGATATATTTAGCAGCAAATTGTCAAATATAAAATCCCACTTCCTAAAATAATTGTTTTGTCACCTATAATAAATATAAAATGTGTAGTCTTTATAGTCACTTGTTTGTATTGTTTGTAGTGTTTTGAGACTTTACAGTCACGTGTTTGTGATGTATTTATTATACTCTGTTATTTCCTGCTCTGTAATTGGGCTGGGTCCTGTAGAGTATTGTATTACAAATAAATAAATAAATCTAATTGGCAAAAGAAAAAAGGCAAAAATTAAAAGTTGGAAAAAATGAGCAGCATGAATGTACTTATAAAGTAAAAAAATATTAATTGAGATATAGAGCTAGAAAAATACAGTAAATCAAAACTGACAAAACTTTTGAATGATCCTAATATTTTTCTAAGGTTCATTTCGATTGGGACATTATTAGTCAAATTTTGCTTCCTCTTGTTTTTTTATTGCTTTATGCAATAAACTTTTGGCAACAAATGAAAACTTGTAGTTTCCGTTAGAGAAACTAAGTGTAGTATGTTTCAACTGGCTAATGTTTTCACTATCGGTTTACAATACAGTGACTAAGCTGAAGAAATAGTGCGAGCAGTGGCACCCTGCATTTGTTATCATCAAATAAATAGAAAAGAAAGCTGGTTAGTCTTAAAGAAGGACAAACTGGACGCTCCTTAATAATCTGTACGGAAAGAGTTCAGTTCTCGTATTTACATTCGAAATTTTTTTGATTCCTTAAAAACCCTTTCAATTTTAATTGCGATTATTCCGCAAATACTTCAATTTGTCCACTAGAATAGCATATTTATGGATTAATAATGAAGCATAGAACGAAAAGGCGATATAAATTTTTGTTACTACTTGAGTTGCCTCAGCTCTTTCCACTAAACGAGCAATAAGCAGGAACAGAGCAACAGCAAGAAACACGAAAGTGGCTTAAATTGCTGCATAGGGTCGGAGAATCATGTGCTCTAAGCACACGCAATGAGTCAAGAATGGCAGCGTTTTGCATTCGTCCAGCCAGATTTCTGCCTCAATACGGTAAGCCGGCATAATATTGAGATTCGAGAGTAGACTCCAATAATTAGAGCGATCATCTGAACAGAATAGTCTAGATAAAGTCCGCGAAGTTCGAAGAGAAAATCTCTATGTTTCATCTGCTTTTCCTCCTCTTTTCAGACGGGTCTGAAAGCTACACCACGAATATTGTCTTCCTCTGATGATTGAGAAGAACTATATCAGGAGTGTTAGCTTGTTTTATTCTGAGGGTGGAAAATGAATAGTTCCTATGAACTCGTCACTCCTCATTCCTCATATCGGATTCGATATCCTCTGGAGCGTAAAAGAAAACAAAAGTCTCATTAATACCGTAAATGTTCGGTAGGTGTTGCTAAAGCAATCTGCTGACAGTAGGTGCATTAGGGTCACAGATGCCTTGCTGCAGCCCTGCACCTGGTGTCAAAAATCTCTAAACCTATCACGCCTTTACGGTAGATTGAGGTGATGAAGAAACCATCCTGGAAGGCATGATGAAACCCTCCGTTTCCGATTTCAGCCCAGTCGACCTGAGAAAAGCGAATGTCAGGCACTTTGATAATCCGAGGTCTTCGGTGTTGCTGAAGAAGACTCACGTGTTGGCTTATTCTTCTGTTGCCACAGAAGTGAATAGATCTCTGCGGATTTTACTTGGGCCTTTGCTGAATGGCTTCCAACAATCACTTTTCAGTTTATGAAATTTTTAGGTTCCGGGCTCAGAGGGAAAAGCCGGGATGATTGCGATAGCCGATCCAGAGGGAAATCTCGACGTAGAAGCTTTGGCAAAAGGTCTCAAGTCTCACCTACCCGCATATGCCGTCCCGATGTTTTTGAGAATTCTCGACTCTCTACCAGTTACGGGGACATTCAAGGTGAAGAAAATGGAATTACAAAAGGATGGATTCGATTTAGAGACAATCAGGGATGCTTTATATTTTTTAGATGCCAAGAAAGGGGTGTATATTCCTCTAGAACATGTTTATGAGAATATTATTAGTCAGAAGTTGAAATTATGATAGTAATAAGTTTTTTTTACCAATGTGCTGTTAAAAATAAACCATGAAGAATAACGATCATATGTCATTTTTGGTGTCCTGGACCACACAGTGTGACTCATAAAATGGAAGCACCCTAACAAATCATTTCAACCAATGGATTTTTTCGTTATGCACATATTTCATGAATGATTTTTCGTGTCTAGAGTCAACTTTCAATATTTTTCAGTGTGAAAAATAAACAAAAATTACCTCGGAATACATTCGTCATTAAAACAGTTATGAAAGAATAATAAATTTGAAAAATATGCCATTTAATTAACCCACCAGTTCAGTTTTAGAATTTGATTCGGAATATTTGTCACCAAAATGTTATCAAAAACATTTTTCACGAACTAACTGAAATCCGCCTCTCATTCAAAATCACTGCAAATAACAAGAACAAATTGAAAAACATTTCAAAATTTTGAACCCTCCACCAAAACGCCATTCAAACCTCCAATGCTTTTTATAATATCGCTTGCTGATATTTTCTAGAGTGTTCCATAATTGTTGCGGAGGAACTGCGGCAGAAACTTCCTGAATTATTGTGCACAGGTCCACCCAGTTCCTTACTAATTATTTGCAGACATTTCATAGTCACCTAGAAAAAATCGAGTGGAGTCAGATCAGGCGGTCTAGTTTGCCATACAATTAATCTACCACTCATTTTGCACGATGCTTATGTTTTATACCAAACCACCATCCATAATAGTAGGCACTGAATTTTCTGAAATAGTATTGCATTGAAACGAGAACATTGTTGTCAAGGTTGTGATTCTATATATTTTATCATCATTTAATATAATTTCCGTATGCCACTGCAAGAATCATCATAAGGCAAAAACATTAGTCATTCCTGAGAACTTTTGCTCACTATTTTGGAATTACAGTATAGCTGTAAATATAAATTACTTGTTTCTGCACGGGACAATAAATTCATTGAAAATTATAGAAAATTTGCAGAATATTGCCGTCAGAAAAGAGGATAAATTATTGTCTCATTCAAAGCTCCACATCAAACATTTACCTTCTTCTGAAAATTCCCTAGTTGGGGTTTTCAGTGACCCCATAGAGGCTATTTTGCGATAAAAGCACTCCTTTCTTTCAGCAGCGTTACTAACAAAACATTTGCTAATAGGAAAAATTCCAAATTATTTTTTTGATCGCCCCATTCTAGAGTCTGAAAAAAAATTAAATTCAATGACTTCAACCTTCAATACCGGGGACAGGATAAAAGTAACTTAACACCGGTTGATAGTAACACAATTAGGGTCCTATGAAATATTATATCTACAATGAAAAACAAATATTGATGTAATGTATTGGGACTTGATACCAATAATTAAGATCACTCGTGGTTTTATTATAGGTGTTTATTGTTGAACGACTATATACATACTGCCCTGATACCTGTTTTTTTTAAACTGACGTCCTCAAATATAAACTGAAGTATCGAGTGGTCCACTAAATCAATATACTACAATTGGATTATACAATTTACAATTAGATAAACAAATCTTTTTTTTTTCTCGCAAATAAAAAAAATAATGAGTTCTCAACTGATAGTTAAAAATAGATACTAACATGAATCGCTTTTGGCACTTATTTCCGTCTGTTCATCTGTCTGACGTGTTTCTCAGGTTTATTCTACTTTTTCACGAACGAACAGAAATATCGAATTGAAATATTCACTTTCGATTGACTTAGCGGTGATACAGATCCCATTTTGAGTCTTGAGTGAAAACAAGAAATGGAAAAGTTTTCAAGCAGTTTTTCGAGAAAATTCAAGATCCAGAATTTACAAAAGCTTCGGAGAAATCTAAAAACTTAATATTAACAGATAATCACAATAGATAGTGAACTTCGACGTTTATTTAAAAAATACTATGCGGTTCATTTTGCTGAGCCATTAAGTGCCAAAGCTGCTCTAATCCATAATGAGTAAAACACTTCTTTGAAAAATAAATATTCAATACTGACGATCGAGTGCAATGGTGCTGGTGCAAAATGTTTATCATTATGAAAATTATAAGAGGTATATTATATACACGTAACTATGAACGAACTTATAGCCTCATATGCGGCTTTCGTTTCGAGAGTCTGATGTAGAGTTATCATGGATGTATAGTTATTTCATCCCTTCTTAAAGTAGAATTCACAACAATGAAGGCTTTATAATTGGATCGAGTTCAACTGAAGTTGAAGATTTTGTTTTCCTCTTAACCACGCAAATCATTCCTCTCTGATACTATTCATCATCAGAATCATGCACTGCTCTCCTTTCTGATTCCAAAACAGACTGCTGTTCTTCGAATGTCATTCATTGTGTTTTATTCGTTCTACGGATTAACTCTTTATAGAAGTTTTGACTACTTTATATAGTTCTATCTTAATAAAAACATTATTTGTTGTTACAATTTATCAGTCATAATAATGCCAGAACACCTCCCATATGTTAATAGGCAAAAAAACTCTTCTTCCTAGATGATACGTCTTCAGCATAACTACTGACTAATCTTCACGATAGCGTAAAGGTCTGACAACCGCTCTCCCAGAGCGTGTTATATTCTTACCCTGCTCGATATTAAATGGTCCCTCAGTTTTCATTGGCGTTTTGGGTTGAGTTGGGTGACTTTCCACTTCCTGACTACCTTTCTCAATGTTTGTTGGTCTTTGGGGTTAGTTGTTGAGCAGTCGGTGTAGTTTCTGGAGTCGAATTTGTTTGTTGAATCCCTGGCAGTTGTTTCACTACTCCGTCGGGGATATTGCTTAGATATGGAGCAGGGATCAGATGAAAACGGTTTCTCCTTATGGTGCTTATGGCGGTCTTAACTATGTATGATCTTGGTTTAACTTCGTTAATGATTTCCCCATGTCATTTCAGGTCTGTGATCCATACAAAATCACCAGTTCGAAGTCTACTCAAATTCTTCGATCCATGTTTTCCATCATATAATTTTTTATATTTCAAACGGTACTTCCTCTCCGCACTTACTAGTAGCTTCTTTGATGATTTAAATTCAGCTAATGCGATTGATGGTAGATTATCTCTCAATTTTCTTCCAAACATCATTTCAGATGGAATAAATCCATTCTCTAGTGATGTGTTTCGATATGACAGAAGTGCCATCTCGACGTTGTTCTTATTCTTTTTTATTAAAGTTTTTGCGACTTTTACAGCTACTTCTGCTGCACCATTTGCTTGGTGGAATTGTTGGCTACTTCTTGATGTAGAGAACCCCCATTCTCTTGCAAACTGTTGGAACTCTGATGTTTCAATGCTCCACTGTCGGAACAAACCAGCTGTGGTATACCATATCTAGCAGATGTTGTTTTACAGATGTTTATTATCTCATGTGGGAGTATTTCGAAAAATCTAGAATAGTTATCAGTTATGACGAAATACCATTTTCCTTCAGTTTTAAAAAGGTCCGTTGATATTACTTGCCATGGATAATCCGGAAAATTAGCTGGCAATAAAGGCTCATAATGGTTTGTCGAGTTTTGAATATAGATAGGACAAGATTTCACTTTAGCTTCTACCTCTTGAGAAATTCCTGGCCACCACATCGTTTCCAGAGCACGACAATGAGTTTTAGTTATTCCAAAGTGACCAGCGTGCAATTTTTCCAACATCATTGTCCTGAGCTCGCATGGAATGATCATACGCCTCCCTCTAAGAAGGATATCATCCACAACAGATAGTTAGTGACGTACTGGGTAGTATAGTTCAACATCACATGATAATGCAGACTTGTGAGGCCAGTCTCCCATTATGTAGTTCTTCAGTTGGTTACAGGTTGGATCATTGTTTTGCGAGTTAGCAACTCGTGTTACGTTCTCATCAGATATGGGAATACCTGCGAGAGTGACCCCATGAATGAAGGCATCGATTTCTTCTTCTAATTCTTTGTCATCTTCTGAAGGTATAGGTTTACGAGATAAAGTATCAGCAATATATGAATTTTTCCCTGGGGAATCTACAATATTGTAATCATAACGCATCATGCGCATTCTAAACCTTTGAAGTCTTGGAGACAGATCATCAAGGTGCTCAGTTTTAAATATTTGTAGAAGTGACTTGTGATCGATCTCTATGGTATATTGTTTTCCTATCAGAAAACTCTTTAGTCTATCGCTTGCCCAGGTCAGAGCTAGTGCTTCTCTTTCTATGTTTGCATAATTTTGTTCAGCTGGGGTCAATGACCTTGAGATGTTTGCTACAGGTTTCTTATGACCACCTATTTGAAGTAATACAGTCCCCAGTCCTTTGGTGGAAGCGTCACAGGATAGGATTGTAGGTTTATTTGCATCATACATTGTTAAACAAGGTGCTGATTTAAGCAATTCTTTTATTTTCTGGAATTCCTCTTGTTGTGCTGAACTTGTAATTGGTTGCATAATTTCACTTCTATTAGGGATAAATTTCGCAAGGAATGTTACAGTACCCATAAGGCGTTGAACTTCCTTGACATTTTTTGGTGCTTCCATTTCTACAATTGCTTTCACCTTGCCTAGATCTGGTGCTACCCCATCCTTTGACAACACAAATCCCAAGAAATCGATTTTCTTACAGAATTCAGTTTTGCCCTTATTCAAGGTTATTGTATATTCTCTTGATTCTTCGGCTAAATTAAGTTGCCAGAATCCATGATTTTCATCAAGTTTGATAAAATATTTAGCCATTCTAATTTCAGCAAGTTGTAACTCTATTGCTGGAATTGGATGAAACTGACGTTTGACACTTTTATTTAACTTTGACAGATCGACACAGATACGGAACCCTTTTCCTCTTTTCTTTATGTTTACTACCATTGGGGCACACTAATAATCAACACTAATAAAACCATATCATTGTTCAGGTTCCCCCAATCACATGTTTTTAATAGACTATGTAGGTCAGTTATAAATTTCTCTGCAGTATCACTCCCTTGCTTATGACTTAGAAATTTGGCCCTTTCATAGATAATATTTCTACGGGGTATAAAATAATCTTCAAATTGTTTTAATGTCTCATCATATGTAGTTGGAACTAG